CAGTGATGGCTTGCCAGGAACGATTCTTAAATCCTGCGCTGACCTTCTTGCACCCTCACTGATGCTCATCTTCAACAAATCATTGTCCGAAGGCCAGCTGCCACTGAGCATGAAAATCGCCAACATCACTCCCGTCTACAAAGGTGGTGACCCCAGTCAACCCACCAACTATAGACCTGTCTCTTTGCTCCCTCTAGTCTCCAAGCTGCTTGAGCGTATCGTCCATGAGCAACTCAGTCAATTTGGCTTCACACGCCAGCACTCTACAGAGGATGCTCTCACAATGGTTACAGACAAATTCCTAAGAGCCCGAGATGACGGGCTGTCAACTGGCGCTGCTTTACTGGACATGTCAAAGGCCTTTGACAAGGTCCAGCATCAGACACTTGTCGAAGACCTATTAGAGCTTGGAATCTCCGGCACAGCCCTGAACTGGTTAAGCGACTACCTCTCAAATCGACAACAACAAGTCGTCATCAGCGGCGATAGCAGCTCATCTTTCACATGCTCAAGTTGGTTCCCCCAAGGGTCTGTACTGGGACCACTATTGTTTGTCATATATGTCAGGGATGTCGCCAGTGAAGTGGATCAGTTTGCCGACCAGGTAACCCAATTCGCGGACGACATCATGCTACACGATAGCAGGAAGGACAAGGTAGTGCTGTCACACAACCTTTCTTCAGCCATCACCCATCTCAGCAACTGGCTTGGTGAGCGCAACCTAATCCTGAATAGTCGAAAAACACAAATATTGTTTATTCCTGCCAATCGTCATGACGACAAGACATTGAATGTGCACTGTGCAGCTACAGTCCTCCAGCAAGTGACAAGCGCCAAGTACCTGGGCTTGCACATCAATGACGACCTGAAATGGAACACAATGGTTGACCATAAAGCCAAGACAGTGTCCTCAAAGATAGCCATTCTCTTCCGCCACAGGCAGTGCCTCCCGATGCCATGTCACCCAACTTTTTTTTCTCTTTTTTTAAAGAGAACACAAACCTACAAATCATGTTGAAAGACAAAAAGTACATTGGACTGGGTAGGCGCTATCCACAATGCCAGTTAATAGCTGTGTTGATGAAATACATGGACTCTGCCGACCATGGGTCTCGGCGTCACAGTGCCATGTATGCATCAAAATTAATCATAAGTTTATTATGAGCCAACATAAGAAAGTGACTAAAGACAACAAAATGAAATAAAAAAATAAGACAAAACAAACAAGAAGGGAATAATAATTGTGGAAAAAAGGGGGAGATTGAGAGATGTGTGGGTAGCTCTCGAGTGATACGGCAGGGTGAATCTAGACCAGAGTGGCTGGCAACTTCGTCGCAGGTGTGTGTGTGTAGCGGTGGCTTTCAGAGGTGGTCTGTAGCCCACAGCCAGTCAGTGTGTAGCAAGTGCTTCCATGCAGCTGCCTTGAAGCGGTGCAGCAATTGCAGGGACATTGGTGGCTGGAACAGGGAGGGTGGCAGTTGATTTCACAAACTGATGTGGGCAAACGGGAAGGACCGCCTGATGTTCTCTGGTGCAGCTGGTGGTAGGGTATTGAGGAGCTGGTGAGGATGGGTCACCGCGTGCGTGTGTCGGGTTCGTGGACGAACCACAGTGGGTACAGCTGGTGGGACAATGTTGGTCAGCTGTTGTGGGCTTCCGATGCACTGAAGCTTGTACATGTAGCACAGCCCAGAGAGAGTGTGTCGTGCAGCCAGACTCTGGAGGAGCACATCTGGTCCTACTTGAGATGTATAATTTTACCCACATTCCAATACGAATGCAACAGCTTTTCCTCTTCCCTTTCCTCTACACAACGTGATCGTCTTGAGAAACTTCTCAAGCGAGCGGTGTGTGTTGTCTGCTCTGCTCATTTCCTGTCTGCAACTGCCCCTCTTTTTGAACGCCACAGCATTCAACCCCTGCAATCACTGTATTGCCGCAAACTCCTCCTGCTAACCTTTCGTGTAATTCATAATAACTGTAGTGTGCTTCTTCATGACATTGTTACACCTCTGTCACACACCCGTCGAACGAGCAGCACAAATGTTCCCCTGCTTCTTTTAGCGAGGATCATATCTGCCGCCGCCACACACAGCCCTTCATCTCAATGTTCCGCTCTCTAGAATAAGTTGCCTGCATCTATACGATCACTGAAGAAACCAGGTCAATTCCGGACCGCTCTCTTACCCCACCTGAAAAATGCACTGACTTACGTTGCTCACTGATCAAATAATTATGCAATCTTTCCTCTGCTGTCTTAAATCCTACTCCATTTTTTCTTTTTTTCTTTTAATCTTTTCCTTACATGTGTGTGCCTATAACTTTAGTCGATCTCATGTTATAAGGCAACACTGCCTGTTTGTTATTCGACGTTAAATAAACCAATCCAAAAATCCAATCCAGGACTCAGGATCATACTGTATTTGGAGACTTAGCTAGCATGGAGCATGAACAGCACCATGGGAATGTTGTCTTAGTCATTTGCTAAATGGTATGCCTATTCACATATTCTACCAGAAGAGGACATATTGTAAGAAGTCTACCACAGGTCCGGAAATAACTACAATATAAACCTCTAAGAAGTTGTCATGTTGCGTAGTGATGTCTGCGGCATTCATTGAAATTTAGGACATAATCGGACTGCTAGAGGGGAAGTTGAGCCTAAAATCAAATATTCACCAGTTGTAGTCTTCGGGGTGGAGAGTCGAATGGTCTTGGTCCGAGGAAGCTGAGACACTCGAGCACTTCCACCGAAACTGGGAGACTGTGCCCTACTAGATTGGGATTTGTATGCAAAATCTCACTAAAAGCGCGATGTCGTTCTTATAAAAGCACGGATGATCGCGATTGCATATGTTGTAGTCTTTTGGACGCTGAATCGATTGGGTTTGGTCTGAAAAGGCTGCGATGCAGCATTCGGCCCTTACTCCCAATAGAACATGGCTGGACTAACGGTCATGTGCTCGTGCGTACACCAGTCACCTGGTCACTGTGCCTGCAGAGCCGTGCAGGCTACAACTAACAGCACGTTTGAGTGAGTTTCTGTCACTCGAGTTGAACCTTTTGCACCTTTGAGTTGAACCTTGGTGTGAAATTTGTCGCCTGCTGGCGCGGTGACCAGGTGACTGGTGCACGCAGGAGCACGGTACCGCTTGTTCAACCATGTTCGATTGGGAGTAAGGGCCGAACGCTACATCGATGCCTTTTCGGACCAAAACCAGTCGGCTCAGCCTCCAAAAGACTACAACATATGGGCCAATCGCGGTCATCCGTGCTTTTATAAGAACGAAATGGCACTTTTAGTGACATTTTGCATACAGATCCGTATCTAGTAGGGCGCAGTCTCCCAGTTTCGGAGGAAGTGCTTGAGTTCGATTGGGAACAAAGGAGAAAGGGAGCGTCTCAGCTTCCTTCGACCAAGACCATTCGACTTAGCACCCCAAAGACTACAACTGGTGAACATTTGATTTTAAGCTTAACTTAACTTAACATGATATAGAAGAAAAACATGATAAAATCGGACTATTCCATGGTGATGTGAGTGAGGTTAGAACATAACGTTAGCTGATATATACTGGTACTAACCGGGTATGGCGGGTTTGCCGGATATCTGCCGTTTGTGGATGATCATAGCGGCAGCCACTGCTATGCCTCCGATGCCCAATAAACTGAGAGAAAGAGATATAGCTAAGGAGCGACCAGAGTTTGAGCCGGCTTCCCCCGTCCCTGAAGATACACAGTTGAAATATCAACAAGACCCCGTTAGTGGTTTTGTTCATCGATTTAGAAATGAATAACAGAAAAACCTAGAAAAGAGATTTTTCACCATTTTCAAAACTTCGCTGTTAACCCTTTGCATGCTGAGTACGAGTTGACTCGCGCTTTATGCATGACCTGATCCACTATGTACGAGTTAACTCGCAAAAAAATCGCAGAGAGAGAGAGTGTGTGCGCGTGTTGGTCAGTTTTGGTTTGCTGGACGAATAGTCTGTGTCAGTGTTTTCTTTGGGTTTAATACTAGTGGGATTTTGCTATCCAGTGTACGTTAAACGTAGGAGTCACTTAGAAAACAGGTGCCTGGGTCGGAGTCCATGGCTTCTCTTGGGTCCAAATTCGGATGGGTAGAATACGGTTTCTACATTGTCCCCACGTGTAGAGAAAAAACGTGTACGAATCTGCCGGGTATCATCAAAATCTGGCGAAGCGTAGAGCAGAACAGGTTTCCTTAGTGTCTGTCACACAACGGCCTCCGAGAGTGAAAGACTTTTCACGTCTTCTTTCTGTGCGTGTCCTTATTATTTGGTAGTATGGTGCTTTCTTTTTGGTTTTGTTGCATTGTGTTGGTTGCATGTGCAGTCTTCTGCAGAACAGTGTGTTGGTTGCATGTGCAGTCTTCTGCAGAACACTGTGTTGGTTGCATGTGCAGTCTTATGCAGAACACTGTGTTGGTTGCACGTGCAGTCTTCTACAAAACACGCACACCATTGTCATGTATATAACATTGTTTTTGCACGCATGACCAAATGCTGTAACACGGTTTTCTTTTTTCTTTGGTTATCAGTTTTGCCTCATCGTGTCTAGCAGTCTTCTTGTTTGTCTGTCTCCAAGGAATTATGTAGAACATTTAGTTCATTTTCGTTGTTGTGTGGCGAGGCGGATGGGAGGGGAGGCTGGGTGCCTGACGCACGGAGATGTCACTTCTCTGCGGTTGACGTCACAGTATAAGAATTAGCAGAGAAGTAGTGTTCTCTGTCCACCCGGGAACGGGTACGAGGGAGCACGGTGTGGGATAAAAGGAGGTGACGAGTGCAGGGTCGGCCTCTTTTGTCTTTGTGCGGAGAGTTGAGTGAGAGTGCACACCCACCCACCCCAGTAATCATCATGTAATTCCATACATCATCGCTTTGATTATTCTAGTGATTTGATTATTCTAGAGTGTGCGGATGCATAATGGTCGGGCGTGGTTTTCTGGTTGTACGTAGCTGGAGTTTTTGGTTAGACTAGGCAATGGTTCTGTATAGTCATGACCGCGGAATTGTGTGCAAAGACAATAAGTTGGGGCGCTGTGCTGTGGTGGCCCCCACTGGCAGTGTTCACGTGTTCAATAGTGGTGTACACGTATGAGTGAGTGTGCGGATGTGTGCGCAACGAATGAGTGCAGGGTGGACAGAGAAAACATTCTTTTTTTTATTTCACCGTCCAATGGCAGAAGCCAATGCAAAGGAGGAGGCGCTAGCCAGCCATGGCAGGAGAAGAAAAAAGAAAGAAAGAATGAAAGAAGATGATAATGGGAAGAGATGAATGCATCAGCGCTGTGAAAAAAAATATATGCTGGTGCACTAAAACATTACGGGAATGCAACACGTGTTCACGGGATTCTCCGCACCTCATCCCCAAAAAAGTAGCTCTCAACTCAGACTGATTACCCTCAAGCACCAACCTATATTCCATCCTCACAGACCAAAGTGATACTAAGTCTTTATAGCAGGAAATTTTCGGACGGAATTTATTTTCGTACGATTTCGTACACGGCCTCTTTTGTACGGAAATTAATTCCGTACTAAAATTTGTTCATGTGCAATTATGTACACTATACATGTACATGCATACTCCTTGCAAACACGTGTATTTAGCATGCAGCACTGTACGAAAATATAACCCGTACAAAAGGTCGAAATTTGGCTTTGTCCGAAAATATTTCCGTCCCAAAATTTCCTGCTATATAGTATTGTCTCCCAAACTGTTCGTGGTAGAGGAAACCATACTGTTCGTGGTAGAGGAAACCATACTGTTCGTGGTAGAGGAAACCATACTGTTCGTGGTAGAGGAAACCATACTGTTCGTGGTAGAGGAAACCATACTGTTCGTGGTAGAGGAAACCATACTGTTCGTGGTAGAGGAAACCATACTGTTCGTGGTAGAGGAAACCATACTGTTCGTGGTAGAGGAAACCATACTGTTCGTGGTAGAGGAAACCATACTGTTCGTGGTAGAGGAAACCATACTGTTCGTGGTAGAGGAAACCATACTGTTCGTGGTAGAGGAAACCATACTGTTCGTGGTAGAGGAAACTATACTGTTCGTGGTAGAGGAAACCATACTGTTCGTGGTAGAGAAAACCATACTGTTCGTGGTAGAGGAAACCATACTGTTCGTGGTAGAGGAAACCACACTGTTCGTGGTAAAGGAAACCATACTGTTCGTGGTAGAGGAAACCATACTGTTCGTGGTAGAGGAAACCATACTGTTCGTGGTAGAGGAAACCATACTGTTCGTGGTAGAGAAACCATACTGTTCGTGGTAGAGGAAACCATACTGTCCGTGGTAGAGGAAACCATACTGTTCGTGGTAGAGGAAACCATACTGTTCGTGGTAGAGGAAACCATACTGTTCGTGGTAGAGGAAACCATACTGTTCGTGGTAGAGGAAACCGTACTGGCAGCGTTAAGTACATCGAACGGAGGGCAGTAATCTTGCACTACTAGAATAGTTTACCCTTGATGTACTTTGTGTATGCAGATCGATCACATATGATCGATTCATAATTGATCCTTAAAACCTTCGTAACTCCATCATTTTTTTCAAACTCAACAATCAAAGGGTCTATCTGGTAGCGGTAACTCCCAGCTTCCAATGCAACAACCGCCGAAGAGCTACGATGGCCTAATCCAAAGATATAGCACTTCGCATTCTTATCTCGGCGAATTCAAATTTTTTGATCGATCTCTTCGCCATTTTAGGGTAAAATCCCTTCTTCGTGTACTCTTTGACCAACTGGGCACAAGATAATGACGTTGGCTGAAGTTAGAATCGCCTCGAAAAGATTTGAGCGTTCTGAGGTAGAGGAGAGTGGCCACAATGGTGTACAGTCAACTTCGCTAATAACGACTGCGGATATAACGACAATTCGCGAATAACGACAGCATTTCCATGCCCAGAGCAAAGTCCCTTCCAACTGTAGTACATATAATGAGACTTCGGGTATAACGACACTTCGCGAATAAGGACACTTTTTTGATGCCCCGCCGAGTGTCGTTATAAGCGAAGTTGACTGTAGATGGGGATTTGCTCGCCTATCGGGCTTGAATATGACTTTTGCGGTATTCCCCGCGCCTGATTTGTGGCAGCTAGTTGATGGAGCCTGGTGTCCTGGCGTTGCTGTCGCCGGGAGGTTTCCAGAGCCCAAGGTTGTGGAAATGGAGTGAAGGGGGCCAAAGTCATAGCCTGTGGAAGGTGAAAATTGTGCTGAAAATTCAAATTCTGCTTCATTCTGTGCTGGAAATCATTACATTAAGGGTTAAAAATTAACACATATGCGCAACAGAGTTGACCAGTAGACATCAGCTTGAGAGGTTGAGGGAGGGGGACGATGATTTCTCAGCGAGCCTGGGGCACAAACTTTGAACAACTTGCCATGTAGAAGGCGCCAAGTATTTGAAAAGCTACAACTGACACGTACTGAAGGTGTATGAAATTCACCACGGCAACACAAACAAGTCGTGTATTTAACACTTACCTATACAGGAGAGACCATCTCCTTTAAAACCTGGTTCACAGGTGCAAACGTATGATGAGTTTCCCTTCGCTATCTTTCTGCAAACAGCATTCTGGTCACACTGGTGAGATCCCTCGGCACATCCATCAAATGCTGAAACAAGGCCAAGATATCAGAACGAGCACAGAAATTGGAAGATGACACGTACCACTACTAGAATAGTTAACCCTTTATGTATTTTTGTATGTGGATCGATCACATATGATCGATTCATGATTGATCCTTAATGATAGCTTGCATAGCGTCCTACCGGTAGGACGTTGCGTCCTACCGGTAGGATGCTGGAACTCACGCTGAGAAAATTTGAACGCTTGAGATTTTTTCTTTTTGAACTGGGTTGTTGTAATCATTGGACTCCTTGGCAGTGGCGCAAGACGCGAGCACATGTTCTGCGCACTGCGCATGCGCAAAATTTCATTGTCAAAATGCCTACATTGATTCAGGTCGGAACGCGATTAACTGTGCCAGTGACGACTTTTGATCATGGTTTTTACGCACACGATGAGGATCGATGGTCATTCTCCTCTTACGGAGACAGCTGGAGAAGTGCGGAGTGTTTGGGCACTGTTTTGAGTGTGACTTTTGATCGAGAACGATGCAGAATAAAGTGGGATTTGTACAGTACTACATCGATTGTAGCCGTTGCTGAAGTTCGTGCAGCTGCAGAGTCCGACCCGTGTGACGACGGAGCAAGAGGTAAGCGTAGAATTGTTCGTCCCAAGCGTTTTGAGGACAGCGACAGCGATGTAGCCGATCAGCCTAGTAACAGTCGTACCTTTGCAAATAGTCGGAGTGTAAGTTCTGGATCTGTGCGTGCGGCACGTTCTGCTCAGCCATCCAATGTTCCATCGAGAAAACGCTGCCTCTCTCCAACTCCAGAGCCTGACCAATGCTTGTTGGACGACGACGATGATACTTCACCGTTGTCAGTATATCCGCCTTTCCAAGACCCCGTATCGACGCGGCGACAACCTGCACTAGCTGCACTCGATGGCGACGACAGCAGCTCAAGTAGATGTCGCAGTGACGACGATAGTGATTCGGATTCATCGGAATGTAGCAGTAGTGAAGGATCGAGTCTTGAAGACGCTCCCACTGTTCTTCAGGCACATGGTTTGGACTGGACATTGGGTGACGTAGTGATCGATCAGTACAAGGATATTCCGTACAAAGCGAAAGTAGATGCTGACAATTTGCACACAATGAATGAATTGGACGCCTGGATGCTGTTCTTTCCGCAGAAGGAAATGGATGAGATAGTGAAGTGCACAAATGCTCACCTGCGTGACAAGCGGAAAGCTGTAACCCGCGATGAGTTTTACAAGGTGATAGGTATCCTCTACCTGATGACGCTGTGTCCAGTATGTTGCCAACGGCGTGACCACTGGAGTGTGACCGAGGGTCTCCTTCCAGCACCAGCCTTTGGACATCGATACGGCATGGGAGCAAATCGCTTTGAGAAAATTCTTCCTGCCATGCACTTTCGCCCACCAGTCAGCGGAGACACCAGGCGCGGCTGGAAAATTGTGAGCCCCCTCATCGACAAGTGCAATTTGAAGTGGCACACTTCAATCCGGCCCGGCCACAAATTGACGGTGGACGAGTCAATGTTTGCTTGGTACGGTCGTGGTGGTGACATTGGCGGGATGCCCACAGTCATCAAAATCAAGCGAATGCCGAAAGGTGTGGACTGCGAAATTAAGTCCGTTGCTGATGTGTCCACAAACATCATGCTTGCGATGGAGATCAACCATCGCAAAGACACCATGGCTACCAAGAAGTGGCAGAAAGAGTTCGGTGCTGAAAGAGTTCGGTGCTGGGACTGCCACAACTTTGCGACTGACCGATATATGGCATGGCTCTGGAAGAATCGTGTGCGGCGATTCCTGGTTTGCATCCGTCAAGACAGCAGTCGCTCTTATGAAGCATGGGCTCTTCTTTGCGGGTGTTGTCAAGACGGCGCACACAGCCTTCCCGTTGAAGCTCCTGTCCGCGATGTGTCCTTCTCCGAAAGGCCGCTTCGTGTCCGCAACCGCACAGAGGGACGGCATAGCACTGAATGCTGTTGCATGGCGCGACAGGAAGGTGCATTCGTTTGTCAGCACGTGCGCGACGACTCTTGCCGGAGATCCTGCCAAGAAAAAGCGTATGATGACAGCTTGAAACTGTACTTCAAGACAGTTGATCGACCGAAGTTGGTGGCAATGTACCACGATGGCGCGCCTTCCATTGATGTCCGCAACCACCTTCGGCAGAATGGCTTGGCTCTAGAGCAAGTGTGGCGCACGGACACCTGGCACCATCGTGTGTATGCCTCAGTGTTAGGCATCATGGAGAAAAATGCTTACCTTGCATTTTCCCATTTCTGCTGTGGCCTCGACAGGATCACCCACTCGGCATTCACCACTCGTCTTGCAGAGCAACTGATCCGCTACAACGCCCCGCAGCAGCCGCAAAGTCAAACAGGTGCTGCGGAGCCTGAAGTAGATCAGCCTGACAGCACCGAGCATCGGTTGGTATCCCTGTCCGAGGTCAGCGGCAAGCCACACACACGTAAATGTGTTGTGTGCAGGCATGTCCGCGACTTGGGCAGGAAGGCGAGCTAATACTGCTACACGTGTGGGCCGAATGCCGTGATGTGCTCTCCGGCCACGGGACGCACGTGCTTTCAATACCACATCGTCCATGGCCTGCCACACTGAGTGAACGTGTGTTCAGCCTGCTATGCTCATGCTTGCATCTATATTATTTATTTTTCATTTTAACTCCTTTTTCTACTGTTGCCATGGGCGTTGCCATGGTACCCAGCAATTCAACATTCGACACGGTCGTTATGCAATGCTTACATCAGTCAGCCCGCTATGCTCATCTTACATTATTTTATTGTTCAATATAATTATCTTCTTTTGTTCTCCCGCTTCCATGGGCGCTGCCATGGTAGCCTGCAGTAGTACTCCTCCAACCGCGTCAAAATTGTCAGAGCTTCACCCAATGGCTCTATGTAGTGTGTGGTTTCAAATTTATGGAAGAGACTGGTATATAGCCAGTGTGGCATGTCTGTGTATGATGGTCCTACCGGTAGGTCCTACCGGTAGGACCAGGGTCTATGCAAGCTATCATTAAAACCTTCGTAACTCCATAATTTTTTTCAAATTCAACGATCGAAGGGTCTATCTGGTAGCGGAAACTCCAAGCTTTCCAATGCTACAATCGCCGAAGAGCTACGATGTCCTAATCCAAAGATATAGCGCGCCGCATTCTCATCTCGGTAAATTGAAATTGAAGTTTGAATCGCCTCGAAATGATTTGAGCGTTCTGCGGTAGAGGAGAGTGGAATGGTGTAGATGGGGGAATTTGCTCGCCTATCGGGCTTGGATATGACTTTCCTGTATTCCCAGTGCCTGATTTGTGGCAGCTAGTTGATGGAGCCTGGTGTCCTGGCGTTGCTATCGCCAGGTGGTTTCCAGAGCCCAAGATTGTGAAAATGGAGTGAAGCAGGCCAAAGTGATGGCTTGTGGCAGGTGAAAATTGTGCGTAAAATTCAAATTCTGCTTCATTCTGCGCTGGATATCAGTACATAAATGGGTTAAAAAATCACACATAAGCACAACAGAGTTGACCAGGAGACATCAGCTTGAGAAGTTGAGGAGGGGGACGATGATTTCTCAGTGAGCCAGGGGCACAAACTTTGAACAACTTTCCATATAGAAGGTGCCAAGTAATGGAAAAGCTACAACTCACAAGTACTGTACGTGTATGAAATTCACCACGGCAACACAAACAAGTCGTGAATTTAACACTTACGTGCACAGGTTAGTCCATCTCCTGTAAAACCTGGTTGACAGGTGCAAACGTGTGAGTTTCCCTTTTCAGCCTTTTTGCAGCCAGCATTCTGGTCACACTGGTGGGATCCGTCGGCACATCCATCATCTGCTGAAACAAGGCCAAGATATCAGACAGATGACGCGTAGTCTCAATGTAATTATGTACCCTCCTGAGTCAAGGGGGGGATAATGCTCGAAAAGGTGGCAGATTCTGCTCGAAAAGCAGTGAAATTGGCAGAATCACACAAACCTTACAGCGGGCACTTCCTTGAATTCTGCTCCATTTCTTTATCCACATACCAAACATGCATGAAACTTACCAGAAAAAGTACTGAATTCTGCCAATTTTTCTGCCGGCATTGTCCACCAAGGCCTAACCCTCCCGAATCAATGGCCTTGAAATGCAAATCTGAGAATTGATGAGAGTACCCAGTCGTAGATGTGATGTGAGTACACAGCCCTGCAACTGGTTAACAATATCCTCAATACCTGCTGGAATGTCAAACTCGACTGGGTTTGCTGCCATAAGAGGGTCACATACAATTGTCTTAATGTGGGCACAGGGTATACATGTATGTGAAATAGTAGGGTATAGAACATATTTTAATTTTCTCCCCGCCACACAATTTTGAACTACTGATAGGGCTGAAGCACTTACAAACGCATTTAGGTAGTGATGTCAGCTTGCCCTCTGCAGTGCAGTTTGGTGATCCATCACCGAGTAGACGAAAGCCATCATCACAAGCATATCGAGCGGTATCTCCATAAAGTATACGTGATGTGTTCTTTTTTCCATTGGTAATCTTAGGTGTTCTACATTGAACAACTGCCAAACAAATTCCATAAAACCAAACACACGCTCACAATTATGTCAGGGGTTTCGGGTTCGAATCCACCTTTTGACAAGATTTTTCCTCTTCTTTTTTCGCTTCTTCTTACCTTCATCTTGTGATTATTTCTTCACAGCTAGCATAGTAAGATGGGACGAGTAGCCTTTTTCTTTTTTTAATTCCATCTGTGTGACGGGCGGCGTTGACAGATATTTTCGGAATTTTTATGTTTTCACCCTGAGAATGGGCCATGCCCGCGCAGTTTGGTGAATGTAATGATTTATTTATTTTGAAAGATGTGTGCAGGGAAGAGACCGTATCTGGAAAGTTCCAGTTGAGGTAGGAGTGGCTGCAATGGAGTCTGTGAGTTCTTGAAAAGTTTGTACTTAAAGTACCATAATTTGGCTAATGCTCAATCTCATGTTTGAGTCTAGGGTTGAGGGACAGTTAATGAGTAAGTTATGGAGCCAGTGTAACTTATGTATCTGCTAATAGTTGGGTAATTATGTAGAAGTAGAAAAGAGGACCCAAGAGCTACAAGTTATGCTATAATATCCACTAACACCACTAGTTACTTTACAATCAGCTCATGCAATAACATTGCATGACACTTGCCAACGGCACGGACGTTCTATCAGCTCTAGCACATCTTGGATGCGCACTCCAACAGCCTTCGAGCTTGGAAGGTTCTTAGTTATAGAAATAACTCAAAGTCTCAGTTCTGAAGGATTCTGTCGGATGTACATGTATGTCGAGGACCCGAGTGTAACTGTGGAAGGAGCCTGGTATCTTCCATTCTTAGAAGGTTTCATTTCAAAATTTGCACAGGCAAAATCTGCTTTCACACAGGGCATGTTTCCACACTTCTCTCGAAATGATGAAGATAGTGATAAAAGGAAAAAGGAAAAGGATAGCTCGTGCATATCTTTGTGGCGCATCCCCTGCCCTCATTAGAACTTCCCGCACGTGAGATAGCAAACGCCCAATTTAGGAAATTTTATGAAAAAAATGATCACAGATATAGATATAGATGGTGGCCAAATGGTTTTTGAAACCAGAGGTCTGGACTTTTGAAACGCACTATAGTACGGAAACAACTGACATCTGGTGCCGAAACAGCATCAGTCCGATGCAAATTTTGTTCTGCCCAACGTAATTCTACCTAACGTCAACATCGACATAACGCTCGCTACGGCGCGGTCCCCGATGTGTGCACTCTCGAAGCAACGCAGATTCTTGTGTGCGGTACGATCAAGCTGGAGCTTTACCTAGCCAGTTTAGGCCAGTTTAGTCCTATATAACCTAAACATCGACATAACGCATGCTTCGATGGAGTCCCCGACGTGCGCACTCCCGATACAACGTAGATTCACGTGCGCAGTACGATCAAGCTGTAGCTGTAGCTAACCAGTTTAGTCTTACCGTGCATATATTCTGCGGCATCGATTGCATCTGATGTCGATGGTGGTACAGTGTGAACATGTTTTCATGGTTAAATCCGCCTTGTAAAACCCTTCATTTTTAGGTACATCTTGTATTTTACAGAAAGTTTTCTACATAACATAACTCTTGATGGTGTTTGCGAGGTCCCAGAGATTACGTTATATAGAGAGTAGACCTGTACTACGACTTCAGCATTTGCTTCTGAGCTTTTCTGATGTAAAATGATGTAAAATATTCCACGCAATGGGCTTATCCCTGCCCAGGAGGGTAACAATATACTAAGCAGCGACTGTCTAACTAATTAATTTTGACAGCAATATGATGGGAGGTGCATGTGCAGAAGAAACTTAAAAACATCGTCAATCTCGCATTCAGCGTAATGATGTTGCTTACCATCACAACCACCATAATCCTGTCTTCCAGTGCCTTCAAAACCTTCCGGGCAAACACACTCGTAACTTCCAGCCGTGTTAATACATGAACCCCTCGAACGTATACAGTCGTTCACATCTAAACTGCATTCGTCCATATCTGAAACCACACATCAGCAAAACAAACTGTATGTAGCACTCTGGTGGTAGGTCAGCAACTTTGCATGCACAACACTTGGGACTGTAATAATTTCATAGACGCTCTCAAGGTATTAGGAAATTAGCCCTTTACTGTCCGATTAAAATGTATACAAGCCCACGCAACCACAACATCTGAAACTAGAATTAGACGTAACTTTGGTTTGAATTTGACAATTTCCACGATCTTGGGCATCCTGGAAAGGTCTTGACGAGACGAACGCAATTAACACTCGGCGCCACAGGATGCACTGGACCAGCGCTGAAAGCCAGGGAACGCGCACTAGCGCTGAGCTCATGCTCGAAATCGATCTCAATCCACCATGTCACCCCTGTTGCTCGTATCGAGCTCAAATATTTTCGTAGAGACTACCGGGAACCTACTTTTGAATTTGAATCGGTGTCGTCTTGCCAACAGGTGACGTAAACAGGGAAAATCCCAGCCGTCGACATGCGTGTCGCGCTCTAAACGCGCATTTCCCGGGACCAGAATTACGAGTGCGATAACTCAGCAACCGCTCTTCGTATCGCTTCGGGAATTGTTCGAGGCGACAGCTGAGACTTTTCTCTTCGACCTACATATTTCGATCTCTCCAAAAGATTTGAGCAAGTTGCGATAATTTCAAAATGCCTACCCCATCGATCCCATTGGATCGATGCTTGTATGTACGGACAGTAAAGGGTTAAAGGCCACATGCCACGTACTGCTCTTTTCTCTCCGAAACTCAACACTTGCAAGCCAGATATGAAAGAAAGAAAAGTACGAGGCATGTGGCCTCTAATTTGCTAAAACTTTAAAATTCTCCGTGAAGTCCAAATTTGAAATTGCTCTCAAGGTAGCTACACATAGAGAATTGAAAACGGCCTTGTACCACTGTTTATGCTTGTACTCGTGTAGTCTTGTCTACCGGTGACACATTTTCTCTACTTGAGGCCAGAAGGGAAGAAAACACAAAGATAATGATGCATATCAGCTAGGTAAACACTTTAACATTCAGATAGGCGCGAGTCAGCGCAAGTACAGGTGGTGCCATGCAATGATAGTACATGAACTTGGCCAAAGCTAAATTGCGCTACCAAAGAGCTTTCTTCTTTTTTCATTAACTCCACTCTAAGCTTTCACAGTTCATAATACATAACAATGCATTTGCTAAAATAAACTGTTCTCTGCATTTTGTTTATAATTGATGCAATGTTTCGTGATGAGCGTTTCACGGAGACTCCCATTCTGAAAATACTTTATCAAGTAACTATAATGGTCTGTAACCATTTTTCCACAGTGTCTCAGATACAACCTTCATTGCTCTAATGTAGGCGTTTCATTTTTGACCAAACCGTACACTACCCTAGCATACACTGAAAATTGGTCACCAAAGAGAGTGAAATATTTGTCTACTTCCTACCTAGACAGTTATCGCCTGTGTAGCCAGCCGAACACTGGCATAGATAGGAGCCTGCTGTGTTGGTGCATGAGCTGCGGCCTTGTGGACAGTTGTGGCCACCGCCAGTTACACATTCGTTCACATCGAGGCAGTTGCCATTGCTCTCCGTGAAACCAGCGCGACATGAACAGGTGAAGCCATCTCCAGGCAGCGGGATATCAGTACACGTGTGTAGTGAACTAGAACATGGTGATGTAATACAGCTGTCCAGATCCTCGTCACAGTTAGAACCAGTGCGACCTATAGAAAGGCATGTATACAGAACATGTTATCAGTTAGCAGTTTGCAAAGATACAAGAAAAAGTCAAAATAAATATCAGCTACTTCCTCAGTTACGCAAAACTTTGTTGCGTGTTTTGTGTTCTTGTCGTGATCTTTCTGAAATCCTTGAAAAATTGTCTTCATATAATTTTTTCATTTTCTTTTTTTGGTCCTTTCTGTCTTATATTTTTATCATTTCTTGTTTTCCCTTGCATATCATCCCTTCATCATTCTGTGAGAACCTGTCCTATGGGCAGGTGAGAAAGCATCTCTGCCTGTTCATTTGGTGAAGTAAAATAAACAACAACAACAAGCATAACCGTTTTTTGACAGGATGTCAGCAGAACACACCGACGATGAAGTGCGAAAATGAGAAGCAGTTTGAAAGACCGTGTGGCTCGAAGTGCCCAGAATTCATGCAGAAACCGGCCAGCCACTGCTGTACCAGCACAATGGTACGCGTCCGCACATAGCCAAAATATCTTCATGCAAACGACACCAGGAGATTCCCGTGCAAACTTGTAGTGCTGGAAAGTTGTTATGCATGGAATCGGCGTGAACATCTTGTCCAGGTGTTTATCCCTCGCGTACCAGGTCCAGGTGTAGTGTTCTGCTAAGTTGCCTTTGCAGGAGGACTCCACTGCTTGGACGACATCTGCCATCGAATCAACTTTGGAGGCTCGGAATTTCTGCTTCAAACAGCCGAACTTGGAGTCAACACTACATCTAATGTGACCAACTCGCATGAAAGAAATTTGAATGCTTGTATTTAGGCCTGATAGCACATGCCAGCTGAAGTATGCCATGACTGATCGGTTCTTGTTCTGCCCAACGCAGTTATCAGCATGAAACATCAAGGATGGCTCCTTGGAACGCTTCTCCAAAAAATGGTGGAGCATGCTCATAACCGCATTGGGACCATGAGCAAGCCGTCCATCACAGCCAATGCTCTCTGCTTCATTGAACAAGTAATTTACTTGCAGATTGCGTGCCTCATCACAAATTCCAAACTTTAATAGTTGTATATTAAATCTGGACTTGAAATACAATGGGCCCACCTAGCAAGTGTGCTGAGGTAGCTCAAGCTGTTGGACGAAGTCGAAAGTGATGTGGGTAGAAGATGCCTGTGCATCTGTATCCGTTGTTCGGCTTAGCTCATCCCTGGCATCACTTATTGATTTGTTGTAGTACTGCCGTTCATCATCAGCCTCCTGCATGTGAGCTGAAAGTTGCTCCATGGCCAGGTGGGTGGTCTCCTCTGTCTTCGCAGGCCTGACATTCTCACGCAGCCGCTCACAGCGTGCGCAAACATCAGATCTCTGCTTCATGATGCATATATCTGGAGTATTAGCTTTCCAAAGCCGTTTGAACGTGGTCAGACTAATAGGACGCGCACCTTCAGAATCACAGTATAGACAATGAATTTCTTTCTTTGTGCAACTAGCAGGAAGATATGTGGGCGCCTTTGCTGCGCGTCCCCTGGGTGCTGCTGGTTGTGGCATTCCATAACGAGATGCATAGTTTTGATAAACTGCACAACATTGTCTGCCACTGCAGTAGGTAAGATGTTGGGCGGGGTTTGCCCTTACTCTTGCTGCTCTGTGGCGTTGTAAGTAGATGTTCAGCGTCTTCTTGTAATTTACGTAGTAGAGTATGCGACAATCCATGTGCACCTTGGAACACTTCACGGCAGACGACAACACCAAGCATTGCATATGTGAACGAAAATTTGCGAGAACTTGCAGTTGCAGCTCCAGCGCTGGGGCTAGATAATTTCATTATCGCTGCAAGTTCGCCCAGCACGTACCGCTTCAGCACACTCCTCTTCATTGCTCTCAAGTTACATACCAGTTCCTCAAGTTGGTCCGGAGGTAGCTTGGTCCAATGATTCACTTTGCATTTGCAACCGATGTCCAGTGTGTCGGTTATCATCGCCGCTGCAGCTCCACTTGCTGCACTCGTTCCATCGCTAGTGGTATCCTCTGCATTGCTGAAATAATTGTCATCGCTGCTCTGCGACTCCAGCGATAAACAAGTCAACCTTTCTGCAGGCGTGTCCGAATCTGAGTCGTCTGAGCCAGACGATTCGGCGATCGTATCACTGCTGTTTAGGCCGTAAAAACTTTCGTCATGTTCCCGTAGCGCAGCGAGGTCGTCAACGCTTACACCGCAAATTTGTAGGCTTCGTCTTCTACTCGTGCATGCCATGACACTCTGTGGCTTCTCTACTTTCAGTACGCGTCTTGCATGCACTCACACTTGTTGAAAGATGAAGTTGCGCCACTTGATACCTTTTCAAGATGAAAACAAATAATCTTGAAGCGATCCTCATCAAGGAGACAACTCGTAAAAAGTACAATATCACCTGAGCTCAAAAATATTTTTCTTCAATTCCGAACTTCAAACTCCCATTCTGAACAATTTCCGTAATTTTCTACCGTACCTTTTTTGCTGGCCGCGGCTCATATGCTGTTTAGAATATATAGTTGTCCTCGCGCCGTGTGGTCGTTCGTTTCTGACACTTTAGAGAGAACCAGAGGGTTCACAACAGGGAGCGCAAAAGAGTGGATGAGTTACACTTAGGGAGTAAGAGCGAGTTTCTAGTTCTTAGAGAAGAGAACCAATTAAAACACATGAGATGAGGTGGGCACAACTCAAGCTTAACAGAATGGACATGCGTCTATGTGATAACGGGGTTGTGTGAGCGATTTTATAAAGGGCGGACGATGAGAGCATGCGGGGTTGACGGAGGAGGATTTTAAGGATTTTCTTGTGGTGTTTTTCAAGCTTTGTAGCAGCGAAAGAGGATAATCCAACCCAAGACGTATCGGCATAATCAAATATTGGGCGAAGGTAGGCTTAATAAAAAAGAAGCTTGCAAGAACATGGGAGGTAGGAGCAGTGGGGGGAGAGGATTCCTAAGGATTTACTTGATTTTTTACAGATATATTCGATATGGGGTACCCAGGAGAGCGCAGAGTCAATCACAATGCCAAGGTGTTTGCGAGAAGACACTATGTCAATTGGATTTGGAAAGTTGGCATGGATGAATGAGGGTAGTGAACTCCGGCTGGGGCGGGAAGAGCATGATCTTTGTTTTTGATAGATTTGGGGATAACCTTCAGGACGACATCCAGGAAAGAACTTCCTGAATGCCAGCATACAAGTTGTTTTTCAGGCCAGTGGGAGCTGATGAGGTGAGAAGGGTCTTGTCGTCAGCAAACAGAGACGTTCTGCAGGTAAGTCGTTTACGTATATTATAAATAGTAGGGGACCAAGAATTGATCCTTGAGGAACGCCTGACAATCCTGGCTCTGCAGCCGAGGATGTGCCAAGCACAGTTACGTACTGATAACGCCGAGAGATAAGATGTTCAACCAGGAGAGTGGTTGTTTGCGTACCCTGAATGCATGATCAACGTTAAAGCTACTTCTGAAGTAATTGTAAAAAGAGAAGAAGACACCTGAATACGAGTTATGCAGCAAAGTCTCAGTAGCCTGTCAGTTTTGTGCCCTATTACCGCACCTTCTGACTGTTTATCATCTTCTTACAGTCGTGGATAGTATTTGCGGCATAACTCGTTCTCATGTTTTTCTTCCCTATTTTACATTTATTACTGGCATACTTGCCAACCCAGCCAACGCAAATCCCTTAGTTACATACCCAGTTTCCTTCGATTTTCTATTTTCCTGGTTTTCGCCAATTTCCGCCGGTTTTCTCCTTTGTTGGACAATTTTTGATTATTTTTGCGTCTTTTTCCGCAATGTTTTGGCAATTTTTTCTTTATTTTTATAATTTATTCATTTGTAACCCATTCCTCATTGGGGGATCAAAATCTCCGGTATGAGTGTTGTTTCCCGGTATAATACAAGGAAAATCGGTATGTTTGGAAAGTATGTGCTGGCTCAGTATCTGAGTTAAATTTTAGCTAATTAGTTATAATAATGATGATATTGCATCTCATCGCATATTGTCTATAGCTGTCTAATGGTGTCCAGATCTTGTGGGAGTCTGTAGGACGAAATAACTCGTCCTTGGCACTGAAAATGTTAACTCAGATCCCGTCATCATATTCACTGCGAAACAATCAATCTTTGCAATGGAATTGCCCAAGTCATTCCTCGAACACAGAAGTCAAATTCATGATTTACACTTACCAGCTTCACAAGAGGCACAGCCCAGTTGAGTGAAGGGTTCTGTCAGAGAAATGGACGTAAGTGGCTGACAAGTTCCATAGCAGCTGCACAGAGCAACTGGAATTGTCATGGTAGCGATGTCACCATTGCTGTCGGCTGCTGTCACATGTAGTGACACACTGCCATTGAGATGCCTCTCAGTAGGAGTCCATGACAAGACCAGTGAACTGGGGGATACTCTCTGAGCAGACACGGTGATACCATTAGCTGTGTAATTGATGCTCATGATCGTCAACCCAGCTCTTGGAGATGAGACAACAGTAACTGTGCTAGCTGCTTGATATGTACCATGCAAGGCAGTTCGACTCATTGAGATTGTTGGTGGAGTACGAGCTGCCCATAGAAACATGTAAATAAATACACATGTTCATGTGCAACCAAATACCTACTGCAAATACTTACTGCAAATACTTACAGCAAATACTTACTGCAAATACTTACTGCAAATACTTACTGCAAATACTTACTGCAAATACTTACTGCAAATACTTACTGCAAATATTTACTGCAAATACTTACTGCATGCGCATGTACACCAAAAACAAGAAATAAATGGACCAAACCACGCATACACGTGTATACGCACACACACACACACAGGGACAGACAGACACACACGCACACAAACACACACACACAAACACACACACATACACACACATACACTAACACACACATATACACACATACACACACACACACACACACACAAACACACGCACACACACACATACACACACACACATACACATACACACACACACACACACACACATACACAAACACAAATACAGACAAGCACACACACACACACGTTTACACACAGATTCACACTTACACACACAAACATGGTTGCCCACAATGACACACACAAAACAGACCGCCACTCAAACAAAGGCAGAAGAGAACAGAGACAACCGCCTGGTTCTTTATTGTAAAAAAAATAGAAAAAGAAAATTATCGTGTCCGTTCCCGAAGGGAACTCACGGCGTCCGCTAACACCCGATAAACCCTAGCGGCAGATGCAGCACCTAACGGTGGGGGTGAGCGGGTAAGTCTCACAACCACTGGCACAAGTGCCGAAAACGACCCCATTAGCTGCATCCATGTACCCCTTGTGCCTGGCCACAAGTTCCCAGTTGACTGTGGGTAGCAGCACGGCTGGAAAAACCGCTCCCAGGCAGGACTTGAACCAGGTGCCTCTCGTATCTCAATCATGGTCTTTGACCAACCCACTGTGCCTGCCTGGTTCTTTATTGTAACACTGTGCAAAAGCTAAGGCAATCCTCAGGCAACGGATATCCTCTACATCATCTGGGTCCAATGAACTCCGAACACAAAACTAAAACCGTATGTTAACTAGATACGAATACCTACCGACAGTATTGGTGCTCATGTTGAGGTCTCGTTTGGATGCTAGTGTGCTCTTAGCCAAGTTAATGTCACTAGAAAGTATATAATCAGCAATGCAGGTGGCATCGTCGTCACATCCATCCACCATTACCCTTGTGTCCACAATGCCAGTTGTGGGTGGATTGATAGGGTTGTAAGTTCTGAAACTTTCCTGTGAGGAGTATGAGAAGGGGCTAGTGCTCTCGTTGACTTGATCTGTGCAGACGGGACATTGCAACGTCAGGTTAAGCAAACAAACAAGCCAATATACACACATCGATACAGACATATCTTCTGCGGATCGGCGCTATGCCATAAAATGCACAGTAACAAGTCTTTAGTTGCATCTCAGTGCCATATTGAAGGTCGCAGTGAGGGGTTGGGGGCGGTTAAGGTCGTAGGAGGGAGGTTGTGTGGGGGGGGGGGGCGTGTTAGTTGGGAGGGGGGGGGCAGGGTGTTTGTGGGGGGAGGGGGTGGTAGCCATAAAAGACACCCTCTGTGAGATAGCCGCTTTTAATTTGACAGTTTGACAAAGTTTCACAACGGATGAGTTGTTGCAAACCATGGAAATCGTTCTTAGATATCATCCCCATGTAACAGTTTTCCCCTGTTCTCTATAACTTTACACTCCCTCGCACCTCGTGCGTCTTACGCCTGTCTATTAGCACCTTCATTGGCGCCATTGCCACATGTATACTATCACATTTTGCATATAACTGGTCGAGGCACGCTCAACCAGGCCTCTTACTTTTCAAGTTTGATTAAACCTGTTACACTGGTAGCAGAGGATGGTTACTACTCTGCTTTTGGCAGGTGTTCTGGTCGCTCTGCTTACGCTCCTCGTACTCGTCGTTCGGCTGATAAACGATATCAAGACCGCTCAGCGCGTTAGCCAAGGACACCGAACGATACATCCGAACTCGGAACCGTGGGAGCCAACACCCCGCCTTACGAAAGAGCCGCCTGTGTTTGGAGGAGATTCCGCTACATTCAAAGAATGGACGTTTGCAATGGACATGGCCCTACGGTCGTTGGCACTCCCAAATGCGGCACAGAGGGTCGACTACGCGGCAGGATTTTTGACTGGAAACGCTCGTCTTTGGTTGATAGCGGCATTGGAAGCTAACCAAGTGTTTTCCGACTGGCCTGCTCTGAAAGCGGCACTTGGCGATGTGTACGGACCACGGCACAACGAGGAAACATCGCGTATGGGACTAATTTCCGCAGCGCAGCGCGGGTCGCTGGACGCATACATTGCTGCTTTCACTCGCCTCAGCCTGCAAGTGCCGGAAATCGACCACCACACCAGAGCGCTGCTGTTCGTCAGGGGTCTAGTGCCGCACATCCAGCGACAGGTCATGCGTGAGCATCCACGTACCCTGGAGCAAGCTGTCATGGCAGCAAACACCGTGGAGCAGTCGTCAGGGCCACCGGCGTCGGGGCCACCAGCCAGTAGAGAGTCGCGTTCCGTGCCCAGCTTCCGTGGTCAGGGCCTCCGCAAGCTGACGGACCAAGAGCGTGTCCTACTGCGAGCAATGGGACACTGCTTTGCTTGCAGGAAGCCAGGCCACCTCGCTAAAGACTGTACTGAGGGTGGACAGCGCTACCCAAACGCTGGTCGCCAGTAAGAAAGGGGGTGCGCTTACTGGCGACGACCCAAGCGCCCACGCCGGTACCAGTCGCTAACCGGTTCGGAGCTCTGGAAGTTGAAGACGTTGCTCTCCAGGAACCTACGGAGCCGGAGACACCCATAGCTGTAGGAAATTGTCCCGTTGCAGAAAGGTGTCATGTCAGCAACGTCAGCGTCGGCAATGAACCTGAACACGACCTACTGCGCATACAGGGAAAGATCGGCGGTCGCCGTGCAGTGATGCTGATAGATTCCGGTTCGACGCATGACTTCATTGCAGACAGTTTTGTTCGAAAGCATCATCTTGACACGGATGCAAGCTCAGCAGTGCTGAGCGTAACATTGGCGGACGGCTCGACCAGCGAGGTCCCGCATATTTCCACACGCACGCTAAGGGTGACAGTCGGGGGCTTCAGTGAGGAACAGCACTTTACTGTGTATCCCCTGACTCGCTACGACGCTATTCTTGGCAAGCCGTGGCTTACAAGGAACAACCCCAGCATCAACTTCCGTACGAACGAAGTTCAGTTGGACGGTGAGCCCTTTGTTGCCAAATTGCCTTCAGCTAACCCGCCGACAGCCGACCGGCCATCTGTGGAAAGCATGTTTATCAGTGGCCGACAAGCTCGTCATGCCCTGAGGAGTGGAGCCGAGGGGTTTCTTGCATGGGTCACTGCTGCAAACGAGGAGAATCGTTCCGGGCCACAACTCCAGGAATCAGAGCAACAAGACATCCAGAACCTGCTCAAGAGATACCAGGATTTATTTCCAGACGAGCTGCCGAATGAGCTTCCACCGAAGAGACCAGTCGACCATGAAATCCAGATAGAAGATGGAGCCAGACCACCGTCTCGACCCGCCTACCGCCTGCCGAAACCAGAGATGGACGAGCTCCAGTCACAGCTATCAGAATTACTTGAGAAGGGATTCATTGAGCCAAGTAAGTCGCCATACGGTGCACCTGTGTTTTTTGTGAAAAAGTCGGATGGTACTCTGAGAATGGTGTGCGATTGGCGAGAATTGAATAGAATTACGATCAAAAACAAAGCTTGTCTTCCTAATATTGATGACTTATTCGACACGATCCAGGGCAGTGCATATTTCTCCAAGTTGGACTTGCGGTCAGGCTACAATCAAATCAGAATTCAAGACTCGGATGTTTCTAAGACGGCCATTAATACGCCGTTCGGCCACTTCCAATTTAGAGTCATGGGATTCGGGCTGACTAATGCCCCGGCCACCTTTCAGTCTCTCATGAACTCTATTCTGCAACCGCATCTCCGAAAATTCGTTGTAGTATTCTTGGATGACATTCTAGTTTTCAGCAAGACCTGGGAAGATCATCAGCATCATCTTCAAACAGTTCTAGAAACACTTAGAAATAGTGAGCTGTATTGCAAACAGTCTAAATGCGAATTCGGCGTGAGAGAAGTTCTCTTCTTGGGGCATAAAATCAACGGCACATCAATTTCCCCTGATCCCAAGAAGATAAGTGCTGTGGAAACATGGCCAACTCCGTCGTCAGTAACTGATGTGAGGAAGTTTCTTGGCTTTGCAAAATATTTCCGAAGGTTCATAGATCGACACTCGACCATCTCTCGTCCATTAGAAGAAATCACCGGAAAAAATTCACGCTTTGAATGGAGCGCTGCTAGACAGAAGGCATTCGAGTCTCTAAAATCAGCATTACTCGAGGCGCCAGTGTTGCAACTGGCCGATGTTGAGAAAAGCTTCATGGTAGAAACTGACGCAAGTGACTTTGCCGTGGCGGGTGTGCTCCTGCAGCAGGGAGAAGATATGGATTTGCATCCCGTAGCCTATTGTAGTCGGAAACTGTCAGCTGCAGAACGCAACTATACTGCGGCCGAGAGGGAAACGTTGGCTGTGGTATTTGCATTAAAGTGCTGGAGAATCTATCTATTCCGCCACTTTGACCTGATGACTGATAATATGGGTGTTGTCTATTTACGAACCAAACCGACTCTCACCAAGCGTGAGGCAAGATGGGTAGAGTTTTTAGCTGACTATGACTTTACGGTCTTTCACAAACCAGGAAAGAAAAACATTGCCGACCCGCTTTCACGCCGTCCAGATCTGTTCAGTGATTCTGAAATAGGCGGGTCATCCTATCCTCCTAACATTCAGTTGAATGCCATAGAGCATACCCTAGAGATTAATCCAGACTTAGCGCAGTTAATTGTCAACGGTTACAAGTGCGACAAGGATCTTGCTCCCATTATCAGGAGACTGAAAAATTCAAGCCATGACAATCTGCACGACCGTTACCTTCTAAATGAAACACCCGGTTATCTTTATCTCAGATCTTCACCACAGAACAGGTTATGCATTCCAAAGAGTAGCAAACTCCGACTCGCCCTGCTTCAAGAATACCATGACTGTGTGACTGCGGGGCATCCCGGTCGAGATCGCACCTATTTCAGACTCTCTAGATATTTCTATTGGCCCAGAATGGGACTGGATGTAAAGGCGTTTGTCAAGTCATGTGACGTCTGCCAACGAGTTAAAGGCGGCCAGCTAAAAACTGGTCTCTTGCAGAATTTACCAGTGCCCAGTCAGCCGTGGGCAGATATCTCGATGGATTTTATCATGGGTTTGCCTAGGACCGATACAGGTCATGATGCTATATATGTATTTGTAGACCGCTTGACAAAGTGTGTACATTTAGCACCTACTTCCTCTACTATTGACGCTAAAGGAAGTGCTGATCTGTATATTCAACATGTATTTCGACTTCATGGTTTGAGTTCTAGTATTGTATGTGATCGTGATCCAAGATTTACGGCAGCATTTTTTCAGGAATTGTTTGATCGCTTAGGAACGAAACTAGCATTTAGTACTGCCAATCACCCTCAGACAGATGGCCTAACTGAACGAGTAAACAGAATAGTAGAGGATGTGCTGAGGGCTTTTGTAAATCATAAACAAGATAACTGGGATATGCTCCTACCTCTCTGTGAGTTTTCTATCAACAGCGCTACTCAATCATCTACAGGAAACACACCGTTCTTCTTAAATTACGGTCTAAATCCCAGAGCGCCACCCGACTTCCTCAACCCTATTCAGGGAGGCAGAGATTCAGCTGATTGGTTGCAAGCAAGACAAGACGCGGTCAAGATCTCACAAGATGCGCTAGTGGCAGCTCAAGCTCGTCAGGCCTTCTATGCAGATCGGACAAGGGTCGAGGGAAAGCTGAAGGTGGGAGATTTGGTAATGGTCTACCGGGATTTCCTCCTGACTCCTGAAGCTCGGGACCGACCATCCCATAAATTACGCCCCAAGTGGTTTGGCCCCTTTCCTATAACCCATGTGGTCGGCCCGAATGCCTACAAGCTCAAGTTGCCTCATACCAGCCGCTGTCACCCGGTATTTAATGTGTCGGCACTCCGTGCCTACGAGAAGAACGTTATTCCTAATAGGAGACAGCCTACGCCTCCGCCTATCACGGACCTTGATGGTCATGCCCGCTATGTGGTGGAGAACATTCTCAGTCACCGCCGCCGGCAGAATCAGCTTCAGTACCTAGTCAAGTGGCAAGGCTACTCTGATGCCACTTGGGAGCCTGAACATTATTTGTTGGATGAATCTGGTAATGACATTGTTCCACTTCAGAAGTACAAAACCTTGGCTTCTGCCTGCTGAGTTTTGCAGTTGAACTTCTAGTTTCACCTTACACATTTGTTGAGCTTATTACACTTTATTTGCATGGAGTTTCAGTCGTCTTATTGTGTTACTTCAGTGCGAAGCCTTTTTTCGTCTCGCACGTGTTTGCGCTTATTGTACTCTATTCCACTTGAGCATTTGGGTTATAAGCTCCTTCCTCTCCATAGGAGGGGGATGATGTAACAGTTTTCCCCTGTTCTCTATAACTTTACACTCCCTCGCACCTCGTGCGTCTTACGCCTGTCTATTAGCACCTTCATTGGCGCCATTGCCACATGTATACTATCACATTTTGCATATAACTGGTCGAGGCACGCTCAACCAGGCCTCTTACTTTTCAAGTTTGATTAAACCTGTTACACCCCATGCATGGGATCTGTAGGATAGCCATCAATGGTCCAGATGTACTACAGATCTCACGTGTCGAAGTTTCATACCTTGTGAAGCAGTTAACTGTGTGAAAACAGGAGGCACCCACAGTCACCAAAACTGCCTATTGGAGAGATAATTATGGTCAAAAAGAAAGTAGTTGCCCAACAAATAGCTTACACTCATTTCCTTCAAGTATTAGTTCGGTGATGTTTTGCAAGATATCTACACCGTTGTCGCGGTCTACGTTGAGAAGACCAATCACCTGGGAATTCTCTGGCACTGCAGAAGGTAAAGAATAACAAGAAGCAAACCCTTAAGAGAGCATGTCTGAGAATGCCAAAGTATGTGAGCAAGTGGATCCCACCGATTTCGCTCAAAATTTGCAGGTATGTTCCCTTTGGGGTGTGGATCGATTGTGCAAACCCCTTGAAAATGTGTCCGAAGGGAACCGTGAAACTTGCCTACCCTTCACAAATGGCCGAAATATCACAATATGTGTCTACAAACGAGTCACGCGAGAGCGTAAACGAACAAGCTACGAACAAAACTCCATCGAGCCAACATTGCCTCAACTTAGAAGAGTTCCTGGAGCAGTAGCGCTTAGGCACGCAAGGATCCCAGGAGACGAGGGCCATTACCCCCTGACGCCACAAATGATTGTCTTGAAAATAGCTAAATTACAAGCCTTGGCAAAACAGCCAGCTACGTCCTCAATTGGCAAGAACTATACACCGGCAGATAGTAGAACACCTCTTCTAGCGCTGAGCACATGTCCCCATCTTCTATTTGAGGTTTTCTTGAAATAAACTTTTTGGAATTTTTCCATTCGACCATGCTGAAATACGGCCAAAGTCATACCTGGCCAGGAAAGCTTGCCCCTCCGCGATGTCTCCCCAGCAATTTCTACTCAAACACTACGCTCAGTGCAGCAGAACAAAGTGCATTGTTGACTCTGACAAGGAGAACCAGCCGTGATCACTAAGTCTTGTCGCTCCAAACGACAAGCTTCTCCTTGCGCCATCAACAATTTTTCGTGCCACTGTTGATGCAAAAGTGACTGAAGTTCTGAACACAGTTTTTGAATTTTATTGCAAGATGCACGGTGAAATCATTAAATTTTTTATTTTAGTTGCTGGAGCTCCTGAATAATTTTCTTGCTAGAGAGTCGGGCAAATGGAGAGAGCTAGTAGAGAGTTCAACTCTTGAAGAGGTTTTACACGTGGAGTCAACGGCTGGACGACGGCAAGGAGAGAGCGAGTAGAAGGTGCAACTTTCAAAAGGGTCCCTCCACCGTCACTACGTAGGTGAGGGGATAGGCGCCGCCGAGGTAGAACTAAGCCTGCTGAATGTTCCGGAGCAAGGCGGACGAGCAACGAAAATGAGGGAAAAAAAGTGTTCTAGTGAATTTATTTGTAGAACTTGGAATGTTCGTACATTATACGCTGGTGGAAAGCAGAAGCAGTTGACCCACGAGATGAATCGTTATCGCTGGAACATCCTTGGACTGGCTGAGACACATTTGTCAGGGATGGGAGACTTCACCACCGATGACAAGCATGAGCAAGGTGTTGGATTCGTGGTGTACAGGGACTACCGGAAATCTGTTGTGGACTGCTGGCCTGTATCTAGCCGAGTGATTTGCATTCGCCTTGCTGCAGCCCCCCTGAATGTCAGTATCATCCAAGTGTATTCTCCAACTACATCACACGATGATGATGACACAGAGGCATTTCATGGCGATTTGGAGAAAGTATTACAGAAAGTTCCTAAAAAAGATGTCTTGATAGTACAGGGAGACTGGAATGCCAAAGTTGGGGCGGAAGCATTCCCTGATTGGATTGGCACTGCTGGTCTCTAAGGTTATGGCCGTACCAATGATAGGGGTCTGCGTCTACTGGAGTTTTCCAAACTGAATAACCTCATCCTGGCCAACACCATGTATCCTCATAAACCATCAAGACAAACTACATGGCATTCAGCTGATGGGAGAACACACAACCAGATCGACTACATTCTAGTAAGCAGTCGTTTCAAGTCCAGTGTCGTGCAACGTCTCACGCGCGTGTATCCGGGCGCTGACATCGCTAGTGACCACGACTTGTCTGAAGTTGCGTGCACACAAGAAGAAAGCTATGGTGGAAGCGAGATATGATGTTAATAAACTGAAAAAAACGATGCTGTGCGCGCCGCTCAAGCGGAAATCGGTGGTCGGTTTGGCAATCTTGCGGACAGGGACATGGATGTTCAGGAGTAAACGGATGAATTCACCAAGACGATACATGATGCTGCCCGCACACATCTAGGGAATCGCAAGAAGAAAATTAAAGAATTGATGACCGACGCTGTTAAGCAGCTATGTGATGCAAGACGAGTGAAGAACTCGACCCGATACGAAAGTGATGCCTCCATGGCAGAATATACGCCAGGCATGCCGTGCAGGGAAGCTACCGACCCGGAAAGCCAAAGCAGAGTGGGTTGAAGGACCATGCAAGGAGATAGAGTGCGACCTTAAATTTAAGAACATAAAGAAAGCCTACGAAACAATCAGTAAGCTGACAACGAAGCCCACTGTCAAGTCTCATGTCATTGAGAACAAGGACGGAGAGTTACTTACGGAAAGCAAGAAAGTAGCCGACCGCTGGGCGCAGTATTGCTCCGACCTGTATACCTACAACATCAACCCTGCCATGGAGGTACTGGATGATCTCAAGCTAGGAATGCCACTCAACGATGATGACAGAGATCTATCGATAATCAAAGAGGACGTAGCTGCTCTTGTAGATAACTTGAAGGCAGGCAAGTCTACCGGCGATTGCATGATCCCAGGAGAGTTACTCAAAGAGAGTGGCGTCATTGACATATTGACAACCATCTGAAACAAGATATGGTCGTCCGGCACATGGCCACGGTCGGTGAATCATGATTCCACTACCAAAGAAAGGCAACTTCCGAAAGTGCACGAACTATCGCACCATCTCGTTGATAAGTCCCCCTAGTAAAGTAATGCTGCGTGTTCTACTCAACCGTCTCACACCTTGCATCGAAGATCTACTGAGCAAAGAGCAGGCTGGGTTTCGAGCAGGGAGTAGTACTGTGGATCAGATATTCAACATCCATACACTGGCAGATATGGTGACCATCAGAGACCCATCTATACCAATTTCATCGATTTTCGCAAGGCATTTGACAGTGTGTAGCACGCAGCCCTGTGGAAGATAATGCGCAAGTGTGAGCTTAGCCCGACTGTCCTCACACTGATTGAGTCCCTGTACCAGCAGTCCGAGAATGCTGTAAGAGTAGGAACAACGGTTAGCAGTTGCTTCCATGCCACATTTGGCGTTAGGAAAGGTTGCATTCTGTCACCCTCTCTATTCAACATTTCCTTGGAAGAACTGGTATGTAAGTCATTAGAGGGATGCGCGGGTTCCATTAGCATTGGTGGACGCATTATAACAGACCTGCGATTTGCAGATGACATTGATCTGGTGGCTGGCAGCGAGAAAGAACTGCAAGACCTTACTGGCCGGCTGGCCAGCACATCAAAATCATACGGCATGAAAATCAGCACTGAGAAGAGTAAGCTGTTGGTAACGGGAGCAAGCAAAGGTCTGTCGGCAAGCATAGCCATCGACGGGAAGCAGCTCAAGCAGGTTGACGAGTTTAAATATCTTAGTAGCACGATTACTGATGATCAGCATTCAATCAAAGAAGTGAGGAGTCGGATCGCAGCAGCCTTGACTGCTGTTGCAAGACTAGGAACAATCTGGAGGAATAGAAACATCAGTATCGGCTCGAAATTACATATACTCAATGCTACTGTTCTATCCATATTCGTTCATGCTTGCTAGTCTTGGACCTTAACTGCTGAAATTGTGAAAAAGATCGAGGCTTTCGAAACGAGAAGCTATCGATGCCTTCTCAGCATTCCGTTCACTGATCACCGGACGAATGTGTCTGTTAGAGAGGAAATAAATAGTATTCACAAACAAGTCCCACTTATTTTTTCTGTTCGTAAAAGGAAATTGCAATTTTTTGGTCATATTGTTCATTCCGGCTGTTTGTCATTGGCTGTTCTTCAGGGTTGTGTTGCTGGATGTCGTGCAGTCCCTGCTCGCTGCTCGCGATAGGTTTTTATGACGCTCGCTTGTTCATACTTGCTCTGTGACGCCCCGATGGCCTTAGGGCTATGGGCTTGTGATGATGATGATGATGATGTCGTGTTGCTGACGTTCACACGTCCATATTGGCACCCACCGTGTGTGAGCAGGACAGGGATGCACTCAGCGCAAAAAAATAACTTCAAATTGCGCAAGTGTCTGTAAATGTTTTACCCCGCTTCTAACTTTATCCTGCCCTATGGTCACACAATGTCTCGTCTGGACGCGTTTACTCGGGGGAAGTCTCTGGATACAATTATAGAGTATACAGGTCCTGGAGAAATCTCTCGGGATGAGTATTCGAGTCACTGGGCTTCAAAGCTACAAGGGTTAATAAATCCACAATAGGCGATCAAAATACATTAGACACATCGTTGAACCACATACTCACTTTGAATAGCCACAGACAGAATAGGATTGCTTTGTACAGAAACGTTGGCACCGAAACTTCCAAAACTAGCTACGATGCTTCTGCTGAGGTGTGTTTGAACAGTTCCATAGTGGTCTCCTTGCGTTTGAATCTCTCCTTGTGAGTTTGAAAAGATTTCAAGAGTTCGGCTAGTCTCACCTTGTGCTGAAGAGAGGAATGAGAAAGAAAGACAGGAATATAGACAAAACATCGTGTCGAGGTGAACTTAGAAAAGATGAATGGGGGGGGGGGGGGAGGGGGAATAGCGGGCAATTCCTGCCAAATTATCAGTCGCAACTACAGGTGTAACCTATAATTATTAGTATTATTATGCTTTGCTCCCTCTCCCCAATTCACCTATACAGCCTCAACTGCTTCTCTGTCTCTTAATTTCATCTGCTGACGGCTTCCCCTCACTTAACTTAACTTTTCTTCTGGTTCAAACTTTCCTCTCTGTGTCAGTATTGCCTGCTGGGTATTAAAGATATGGTACAACATACACTATACACTCTGTGTAGCTCAATATATCTATAATTGAACTTTTATTTGTAATGTTCATGGACATCTGCTGTGGCCCGCTAGAATGTTTTAATGAGCTTTAGACTAGTTAAGACAACAAATGCATTCTCATGTAATTTCATCTGTCCCTGGGAACCCTGAAGAGGCAAAACTAGTGTGAACAATGGACAGACTAGAACATACTCATCGTAATGGCGACACGCGTGATCGATGTGAAGTTTGCCACATTGTTGACTGGAATCACCTGCATCCTTGCTGTTACTTCCATTGTTATTTCATCTCCAATCATGTGTCCCAGAACAAATTCTCCAACCACATGAAAGTCGAAGCTCTCCCCGCTGAGACTTACAAGATGCGGATCTCCGTAGCAGTAACCTGTGCAAAGGCACAGAAATACAGACCAAACACAAGTTAAAGTTAAATGCTAAGTAGGTGATGTATGTGGTGGACGTGGAATTTCTTTACTGAACGTACAATTTTTCTTTCGAAGCCCAAGGTCACTACAAATAGCTGCTTTGACAGTAATAGCCAACTTCATCCAAGTTCCCAGTTTAGAAAACGGACCAAGCAGTTAGAAGTTTAAAAAAAAGCCTACTCAAGCTCAACTGATGAGGGATGAATTTCCTACTCTACACTGAGCAGGGAGTGAGTGGGGCTTTCCTACACGTTTGTGCAAGGTTTGAGGGGCTTCTTTGTATGCTCTGGATGGCAGTCGTGAGTCAGTCTAGTGAGTACTCTAGTCGGCAGGAAAAGCGCAAGCTCTCACGTAGTGAGCAACACACAATTCCACATGTAGTAAATCAAGCAGCTATTATTCAAAAGATGAGCCTTGAAAGTGAAGTGCCCGAAAAAAAGAAGAAAAGATGCCAGCCCCACCAGAACCGGACGCTCGAACCTTGCTTGTCATGAGTAATGCTCTAACCAACTGAGCTATTGGACCAGGCCAAACAAAGAAGGCGCTGACTCCACACCAAAGGCAGTTCACAACACATGCCACACATACTAAAAGCACTTGAGTCTTTTCCTTCCCCCAGGGGACCAACCACGGTCAGTTTCTGGTACCCACTACCAGAGGTGAAAAAAGTGATTAAATTTTATTATAGGATCGGAAGAATTTTCAAATTGCAATGATCAGTCTTGGAAGTCAAGTGCCTGAAAAGAGAAAAAAATGTCAGCCCCACCAGGACTCGAACCCAGGACCTCCTATATCTACACTCCTATATACTGTAGGTATTTCATTGTGCCCAGAATCACAGTGCAAGACTTTGTCCTTCAAGGGCGAGAGATGTGGTTGAAGCACATGATATTGTCAAAGTGGAATCCAAAAATTCTTTCTTATAAAATTGAGCATAGCCAAGCCAAGGGTTGGAAAATTCCAACCTTTGGCGCTGTTCTCATTGATACACTGCTTTCACCTGCTCCTTTGGTTGGTTGGTTGTGTCTATTTGAATTTGCAAACCCAACGGACCGAACATGTCCAACGACAAGGAAGCGAATGAAGTCCAAGTAACCCAGGAATGGGAAACTCGGCAGCAGACACAGATGCATAGCCAGCAATCGCATGTCATCACGTACATTGAAAATCAACATAATTTTTCGAATCGACCTTTTTTTCAGGATCACTTTTCAACGAGGACGAAGCAAAGTCGGCCGAACGAAGCCTAGAGGAAGAAAATCACCCTCTCCACTTCACCATCACGATACTGACATAGATACGAGATGCAACAACTAAAAAATCCATAAGAAAACTGTACGGCCATCATCGCGCTGACTTTGGTCTGACTTTGGTCTGAGAATTTCTATCACGATCAAAAATGTACGAGGAGCACTCAAAAATAAGCAACAGACGTACCTCTATCGCTCTCTACTCCTTTTTGAAGGCACAAAAGTCGACTCTCCACTTTCAAAACAGGAACCAGACATACCAGTGGTCCTTTTCAGCTGCTCCACGGACGCAGGAAATGTTCACCAAGGGGCGCAGAGCAGCATCCATTCCAGAAAAAGAGCTAAAATACGAGTGAGACTGCATGCCTGAGTACATGAGTACATGTATGAGTACATGCAGAAAATAGTCAATTTCAGCGTTTCTGCTCCAAACAGCAACTAGCTTCGATTAGAAACAAAGATTACACCAAAGGATCAAACAACAACCATTTTCTGCAGTTTTTTTGCAGATGGCTTCCTTGTGCTTGGCCCAGCACGCCAAAAATCACACCTCGGAGGAGTACAAAAATTACAACTCTCAGATGTCCTCGATTGCTGGCCATGAAAAGAAAATAATGAGAACAGAAGGCTCTCAGCAAAACAAGAGCAAAAAAAAACAAATCATGGTCACAGCCAAAGCCGGAGTAGCGGCAGGACACAGAAGACACACACAAGTGCATACATATCACAACAACAGGAACAAGCACGCATGAAGCATGGGCCATGCCAGCCGAGAAGTGGAAGACACCGACAGGAAGAGAGAAGAGAAGAGAGAGAAAGTTTGAGGACGAAGGACGAGCATATTCTTTTTGAGGTATAGCTGGATTCCTAAAGATGACCACATCAGTTTCCAAATTTTCAGTTTGTGCAGCGCATAGAGATCGCTGTACAAATTGTTGTAACTCCATTGTCCTTTCTCTGATAGCCAAAGTTAAGTGTTCGTTGGAAGGCGATAGAACAAGCTTTCCAGCAATGTGTATTTTCATATTGTGCAGGGAAGGGGCGCTGAGTGCCGAAAACCGAAACACGATGCGCTTGAATTTGTGCTTGAATTCCGTGCCTGGCGAGCGTGGCAGTTCTCAAACGG